CATTTTTGTTATTATCAAAGCCTTATGTAGCTGTCAATCAGAACTTCTGCTCAGTAAGAGACAAGGAGGGTTCTCATGCAGTGTCCACATCACTCTGCCACCCTAGCCCAAAGCAATGAGGTTGTTGCCAGCAGGGCAGGCTGGGTAGCTCTGTGATGGGGAAGTTGACGCAGCCAGTGGCTGCTATGGAGTTACCTCCATACCAGCTCCAACTACTACCACCAAGGCCATACTTGGGGCCCAAGACCAAAACCAAAAAAACCAAACACACTGCCGTCAAGTCAGATCTGACTCATAGCGACCCCTCCTTGGGTTTCTGAGGCGGTATCACTATGGAAGTAGATTGCCCAACCTTTCTTCTGAGGGGGGCCCAGGACAGGGCCCATATAAAGGGGTCTTGAGCTATGAATGATGATGACAGTAATTTATAAGCTCTTACTATGTGCTGGGCACTGGGTTAAGCACTTTACAACAACCCTGTGAAGTGGGTACTGTGACTATCCCTGTTCTATGGGTGAGCCTTGAGGTGCAGGAAGGTCCAAGGCTCAAGGACCCATGGCTGGGATTCAAATCCAGGGAGGGCTGCAGATGCTGAAGGTCCTGCTCTTGACCACTGCAACACACTGTTTTATAGGAAGGGCTCCCCAGGGAGAGGTGCAGAGTATGGCAAGGGTCTAAGAGGCACCTGGGAGTGGAGCAGGTAGAGAGCAGGGGGGCTTGGGAGCTTGTGAAGGGAAGAACATCCAGATGGCAAGGGCAGCCTGCCTCCCTGACACAAGGGGCCATGAATTTAAGTGGCTAGGGATGCTCGGAAGGAAGGTTGGGCAATCCTACTTCCGTAGTGATACTGCCTCGGAAACCCGAGGAGGGGTCGCTATGAGTCGGGCCGACTCGACAGCAAACAACAACAAGGGATGCGGCTGGGGTCAGGGCCGGCAAGGCTGGTCAAATCAGGGAACTAGGGCATCTTCCTCAGATTCCACAGCAGGTTCGGAATTACGGGGCTCCTTACCTTTCTGGCAGGTCTCGGCTTACAAAACCCTCCAGAGCCCCTCCCAGGGGTGAGTTCCTTTGAGGCTCTCTGGGTCTATTCCAACCCCCTCTCCTGCCCAGAAGTAGAAGATTCCAGAGACAGCCCTGGATGGATGGACAAGGGAGGGAGAAGGGCCACACAAGGACGGGAGCCCTGGGCTGAGAGTCCAGGCACCACTGACCCAGTGCCTACTCATGCCCAGAATCCCAGCAGAACTCATGTGCATCATGTCCTCTAAGCCCCATCCTGAGAAGTGGGTACCCTTATCCCCAGTGTACAGACAAGGATGGACAGAGGGAGGGAAAAGGGCTGCATCAGGAGGGGAGCCTAGGGTGAAAGTCCAGGCACTACTGATGTAGTGCCTCCTTGGACCAAGCACCCTGCCATCTCCTCCAAGCCTCACCTCGAGAAATGAGTACCACTATCCCCATCAGACACAGATGCTCTGGTTTGGTCACTGAGAACCTCCTCCAGTGATCTTGAGCAAGTCACAACACCTCTCCGGGCCTCAGTTACCTCTTCTGTACAATGGGGAGAAGGGTCTCTCCCAGCCAGACACTGCAGAGCTGTAAGTGGGGGTTCAGTGATGGCAGAAACCTTGTCTACCTTGGGTACCCTGTATGCCTGTACACAGGAAGTATCTGCTGAATGGACACTGAATGGATGAATCAGAAGACTTAGGAAGACAGTTTTGCTGTCCAAAGGGCTCAGGATTCCACAGGAATGAGAATGTCAGATCCAAAGGGCCACTGGTATTCATCTGATAAGACTGCTCCTTTCACAGAGTCCCTGGGTGGTGTAAATGGTTAACACGCTTGGTTTGAGTCCACCCAGAGGAGGTCAGAAGAAAGGTCTGACAATCTACTTCTGAAAAATCATCCACCAAAGACCCTATGGAGCACAGTTCCACCTGACACACATGGGGTCTCCATGAGTCAGAACGGACTCAACAATTGGTTAGGGAGGGCAAGCAGCCTATTGCTGTCACTAAGCAAATCCAAGGTAGAACCAAGATGGAAACCCAGGCTCTCCTCTTCCCTGCCAGGGAGCAGGGGATCAGCCAGGAGTCTATCGGCAGAGCCTGGCTCTGAGGTCCTGGCTGCAATCCCTAGGCCCTGCTTGGACCCAGGAGGCTGCAGCCCCACTTGGCCAGTGGAAGCAGAATGGGGTTTTGTCCTCCACGAGAGCCTGTCTGCTGGCTGTTCAGGAGCTGGGCTTGGCTGGCACAGTGGAGCCTTGTTTCCTTGAATACGAAATCTGCAGCTTTTCATACTCGCCAGGGCCCCAGTGGGTGAGCTACACTTCCTTCCCTAGAGGTCCATCCTTGGCTCCTTCCTATTCCCTCCCCAAGCCCCAGCAAATGGTGGTGACACCAAGGGGTGGCTTGGAGGGACTCAGCTCCCCTACCCTCCATCAAAGTACTTCCCCCATAAACTAACACCAAAAAACATCAAAGTACATACATACCCCACTTCCATCAAACTAACTCTAAAAACAGACTCTAAAAAGGCTTTTTTTTTTTTCGCAAATGCAGCTTAAAGAGGATTCCTGGAGCCATGGGCTCCCCCTCCAACTAAACTGCTGCCTCCTAGGCCCTTCCTCATTTGGGGTGTCTGGGCTCTCCCCAACAGCTCTATCTTTTGTTTGGGGGTTGGGATGCTATAGAAGCCTAAGAGAAGAAGGACCTGGGGTTGGCAGTGGGGTCACAAGGTGGAAAAATTAGCCAGAAACATAGAAGGGGGTATGGAAGGAGTGTGTGTTCCCACAAGGAAGCAGATGTTTGTGACACGAAACCCGAAGAGTTGCTAAAGAGGGAAAGAGGGTGGACTTTGAGGTCACAGGCCTGGGTTCAGATCCTGGCTCCCTCATTTTCTAGCTGTGTGGCCGTGACACAACAGTGATGGTAACCTCATCATGGGGTGGTTGGAATGACTAGAAGAGACACCAACTGCCTTGCAGGACTATTAATACAGTACTGTGGTAGCATAGTGCCTAAGGCACTTGACTGCTAACCAAAAGGGTGGTGGTTCAAATCCACCAGCCACTCCTCGGAAGGAAGGTTGGGCAATCTACTTCCGTAGTGATACTGCCTCGGAAACCCAAGGAGGGGTTGCTATGAGTCGGGTCTGACTCGATGGCACATAACAACATAACATTAATACTGTAATGCTTTGAGTAATTTCCCTTGAATTCCCCCTGGGGGGGGGGGCAAACTGTACAAGAAAGCTATAGCCAGTGAAGCCACACCCAACCCTGTGTGTGTTCAAGAAGCCCTCGATCTATTTCTCCAGGAATCTTGGGAATCCTGCTCTCCTGACTGCTAGTTTTGGGTTGGGAAGAAATGTTAGAAGGACTTTCAACACAGGCCCTGGGGTCAAAAAGGCAGGCTCCTCAGATCCATGGACTTCCACTCACAGGCTTGGAGGGTGGTCAAGGACTTGGTTCTCTTCCAGGCTGACCCTTAGACAAATATAGGGCTCCCAGTCATCCACCCGGGGCTGGGAACCAAAAACCTCTTCCTCTGTGGGGCCAAATGCAGAAGCTGCAGTTGTAGCAAGCGGTGAGAGGTGGGAAAGGGCCTTTCTCAAGCTGTGGGTTTGCAAAACGCCCCCTTCCCGGGCTTCCTGCATGTTGTCTGGGCAGTCTGTTGTGTGTGGCTGTGGCGACAGTCCCCGCCTGCCCCAACCTCCTGCCCAGCTCAAGGTGGAGCCAGCTTTGTCAGCACCCGTCTCTCAGCCTTGGGCTGCCTGTCTGGGGTAGGCCAGGCCTCCTGACTCCATCCTAAGGTTGGCCTCAGGAGGGTTCTACCTCTCTAGATCCACTCCAGACCAGCATCCTCTGCACTGTTCCCTCTCCAGAGTCAGGGGCAAGGAGTGGGCAGCAAGAGGTGGGAAAGTGTAACAAAGTGTGCATGGCGGGGAGTGGTGGTGGTATACCTTCTCTACCCTCGGGCGCAAACACGGCTGGAAGAGGGTGTGGCTGACCAGATCAGCCCCTATGGGGTGAGGTGGGGGGAACCCAAGGATAAACCAGACGGGCACTGGAACCCTTACTCTATGGGCCTCCATAAGATAAGAAGTTTGAGGGAGCTGAGCCCATAGGTCTGGGGGATGCCTGTCTAACCTGGGGAGGGCTACAGTGCATGGAATTATGTGGAATAAGTGTAGGGGTGAAAGCAAACAGGCAAGTTGCACAGGATGAGACTCCCTTTCTTACTGATGTGTGCCGGGGGGCCTCAGAGCTCCTGTAGAGGTAAGAGAACACACAATGGGGAAAGGAGAGGCCCAGAGATGCCTGCAAAGCTGCCAGGCTGGGGAGGGATAAGCAAGAGAGGAGGGAGGGACACTTGCAGAATGGGACAGGGACTGAGAGGTCTCTGCCTAGGGAGACCACTTGAGGAACAAGAATCCAGGTCTTGGCTAACAAGGAGAGTGGAGACAAGAGTGGAGGTGGCTGAAAAGTCCCTGATGAGGTGGATAAGGAACCAGCTTGGGGGTGGGGTGTGAGGAAGAGTAGCTGGAGCAGGGAAGGGAGGCCGAAAACTCCTTAATCTCAGCATGTGCGGGTGTGGGGTCCTGGGGGAAACATCACCAACAGGGCAGTGGTGGTGGTCTCAGGCCAGAGACTGGGGATCTCCAGACCCATGTGTATGTGGTAGTGAGGACAGCGGGGGCTCATTATTATCTGGAAAGGGCCGCGGAGTACCCCACTTCGTGTGCTGCATATAGTGTCCTGGGGACAGGTATTATGAGGGTGGTTGCATGCCAGGGGCCGGGGGTCCCTAGATCCACATGGGTGGTCGAGAGACGGATCAAGCAGCCTCGTGATAATCTGGAACAGGCTGTGGGGTCCCCAACCCTGGCATGACTGTCTGGGAGCAGGAGTCACGGGAGGCGCGGGATCGGGGTTCTGGGCCCGAGGACCGGTGGCGGGGTGGGTGGGAAGGCCGGGTGGCGCGGGCACTCACTGCTTGAACATCTTCTCCATGTCCTTGATCTGCTTCCTGGAGAACTCCTTGAACTCGGTGTAGGGGTTGAAGACGCGGCGGCTGGGCGACTGGGGCTCGCCAATGCCCTGGTTGAGGTCGGCGCGCCGCAGCAGCTTGGCACTCAGCTCGCCGTCCGCGCTGCCCAGAGCCTCCGCCGCCTCGTCGGTCGCCCCTGCCGCCGCCGCTGCCCCATTCAGGCCAGGCTGCTCCGCCGTCTCGCTGCCGCCTTCGTCCTCCAGTTGCAACCGCCGGTTCAGCTTGGTGGCCAGCTCGTCCGTGGCCATGGTGGCCCGCGCGGCGCTTTCTCCGCCCGGCCCCTGCTTGCCGCGCGCTGCGCGCCGCGCACCGCCTCTGGCCGCGTTCTTCCTCTTCCTGACACTCTCCGCGCCAGGCGCCGCCTCGGGAGGTGGGACTTACGCCCCTCGCGGGGACCGCCCGCTCCCCGCCCCCGTCTCATCCCCACCCCCTCCAGGCCCTCCTGCCCGGCGCGGCCGGCTCTTGATTGATTTTGATTGCTCGGGGTTTTAAGTGTGCTGAGGTTTGCGAGCCCGCCACCCACACCCCCCGTAAGAGTTGGGGGGCTCTGTCTCCCCTCCCCATCCTCAATCTGGCAACAGAGCGAATGTGATCTGGTTGGGGGCCTGTGGCCAAGGCGGGAAGGAAAAATCCCCCTCTCCCCAGTTTGGGTGTGGGTCAGGGGCTCAGGGGGGTGCCGCCTCCCGCTCCCTTCTCTGGAATCCCCACGCCAGTGAAGTCATAATCCTGTGTTCGTGACACCCTGTCGGTTGCCATGGAGACAATTCGATGTCAAACACTGGTGTTCTCAATGAGGGTTGCAGGGGTATGAAGAAGGTGTTCGCACGTGAGCAGGAACCCCAGTTTAAATTTAACTGTGTTTGGAGCTTCTGGCATCTTTTAGAAGAAGATGGACCAAGAGCAATGAGGGAGGTGGGGCTGGGCCTCACCTCTGAAAGGTTCTAGGTGAGGGGATTAGAGGGGTCTGTAAAGGGGCTGTATGACCACCGCCCCCTACCTCCGGTGGGCCAGCACCATCATATGGATGACTTGGCAGAATAGCTGCTGGGCCAGAGTTGTCACCTTTCTCTCTAGTTTAGAGGCACTGACAGGAAGATCTGCTTCTTTTTCTATCAAGTAATATTTATTTTAGGAGCTCTGGTGGCCTAGTGCCTAAGGCACTTGACTGCTAACCAGAGGCTGGTGGTTCAAACCCACCAGGTACTCCTCAGGAGGAAGGTTGAGCAATCTACTTCTGTTGTGATACTGCCTAGGAAGCCTAAGGAGAGGTTGGTATGAGTCGGTCAGACTCCATGGCACATACCAACAACAAACAATATTTATTTTTGATGGCAGTATATACAACCAAACATACATGCAGTCACACTTTCTTCAGGAACAGTTCAGTAACACTGGCGACATCACATTGTGTCCCCATTCTATCTCTACTCACATTGTTTCACCACCACGAATTTAGGCTCTCTAGGAAGATCTTGATGCTGTCATTTTGATGGGGACACCAGAGGGGAGGAGATGTCCTGCCCAAAGGCTAATAGGACAGAGCTGGGGGAAGAGACTAGAAAGGTTTTGTCTCTGTGATCTGGCCTGTCACCTTAAAAGTGCAAAGCTGAGGACCTCCTGCATCAGATCCTGTGGTGGAGGGGACATAATGCAGATTCCCAGACCCCATGGCAGACAGATGACACTGATTTCTGGTGTGGGACCCAAGAATCTGAATTTTAACAAGCCTCCAGCATAGTTCTATTCACTGCAGTTTGAGAACAATAATCTAGGAGAATTATGCTTTTTGTGTCTTCTCTAAAATGTTAGGCTCTTATGTAGAAACTGCTCCCAGCAGCCTAAGTGTAGGCAAAAGATGGATGTAAAGGCTTACAAACCAATGCTCTGGACCCAAACAACACTCGAGGATGTAAAGCCAGCAAGCTATTACAGAGTGACTTGCACAGAGCAGGTAACTGATACTTGTTGGTCTGCTATAGTTTATGGCTGAATTAACTTAAAAGGCATTTTGAAAAGAATTAAATCAAGGGAAAAAAGTTTTCTGATTCAGAAAATATGAAATTTTCATTAACTTGATTTTGAGATTGTTTCTGAGGTCAATAAAGAGGTTCAGCTTAAATGACATGATTATTTATTTAAAAATTTTTATTGTGATTTGGGTGAAAGTTTACAGAGCAAATTCCTCTTCCATACAGCAGTTCACATGTACTTTGTCTCATGACATTGACTGCAATCTCCTATAATGCAATAGCTCTCCTCCCACTTCCTCCCCATAGTAACCTCTTCCCTGTGTCCTTCCCTCCCATGCACTCCTGCCCCCCAAGCTGTCTCCCTGTGCATACACAACCCTTCTATTCTCCTATGATTGATCTCTCTAAGGAGTGTATCTACTTAATGTAAATGTTCAGCTTATATGCCTGTCTTTTGTTTGGCTGGAAGCCCCAGGAGTGGGTTCAATTCCAGACCTGAAGGGCAGCTAGGGGCCATAGTCTCAGGGGTTCCACCAGGCTCTAGACATGATTATTATTTTTTTTAAAGCTCAGAGCACTTTGGCCCAGCTGCACATGAGTTCTGCATCTTCCGTGTACAACCTTGAAAGACCTAACCAAAGTAAAATAGTTTATACTATTGACTGAATGGGAGCTCTGGTGGTGTAGTACCTAAGGCATTTGACTACTAACCAGAAGGCTGGTGGTTCAAACCTACCAGCCACTCCTTGGAAGGAAGATTGGGCAATCTACTTCCGTAGTGATACCGTCTCAGAAAACCAAGGAGGGGTCACTATGAGTTGGATCTGACTCGACAGCAGGGGGTTTGGTTTTTGGTTTTATTTACTGAATGCAAAGGACTAGAGACATAAAAGACCAAGGACAGGTTGTAGATTGAAACTTTATAAAGATTCTCTTGTAGATGCTTGGGTTTGACAAATTCTTAGTCATTCTCATATAGCAGCTAATTGCTTTAAAAAATCAAGTAACACTCAACTTACAAAATCCAACCCCCAAAATCCATTGCCATTAAGTTGAATCCAACTCATGCTGATCTCTCGTGTTGCAGGGTAGAACTGAACTCAATAGTGTTTTCTTGGCTGTAATCTTTATGGAAGCAGATCACTAGACCTTTCTTCTGAGGTATAGCTGGGTGGACTTGAACTTCCAACCTTTTGGTTAGTAGCTAAGCATAAACCTTTTATGCCACCCAGGGACCATCAGGTTACCCCAACCTATGATTTATAATGGCTCTGCATAAAATAGAGTCCCTTTTATTATGAAATGTTTTGCATCTGCTTGATGAGGAAGCAAACTTTTAACTGCCAAGAGATTATGTGAGGGTTTTGCCTTCTTAAAAACAAACAAACAAACAAACAAAAACTGTTTTGGTTACCTAGAACCCACCAGCCACTCCTTGGAAGGAAGGTTGGGCAATCTACTTCCGTAGTGATACTGCCTTGGCAACCCAAGGAGGGGTCGCTATGAGTTGGGTCCGACTCGATGGCACATAACAACAACAACAGTACCACTCTGGCAGGAGTATACCACAAACGGGATGGCTTGAGCAAACAGAAGTTTATTCTCTTACGGTTCAGGAGGCTAGAAGTCAGAGTTCAAAGTGCCAGCTCAAGGGGCTGGGTGAAAGCCCCTCAAACTTGGGCTTCAGCTCTGCCTCTTGCTCCTGGCCCACTGGAGCTAGAGGCATCTCTTTACTCAGAAAGCTGCTGGCTGCTGAGGCCGACAAACCCAAGGTTGACAATGGAGAAGACCCAGTCCTGATATTTTCAAACCACATAGAAGGCGACTGATTCAAGTTCATTGTAAGTCCCAGGATCAGCAGAGCATGGCAGACTGCTAATCAAAGACTCAGCTATATGCCAAAGAGCTGGAGACCTTCCACCAAGTTGCTGCTGATATACCAGAAGCAGCCATGTCTCTAAAGCAACTACTCAGCTGCTCCAATAAATTCCACCATAGAATTAATTACCAGTCTCATTATGGGGAATAACTACTACCACCAGCAGCCCAGCCACTCAACTAGGCCCAGCCAAGACACACAAACTTAACCACCACAAAAACTAAAATCAAAAGCTCAAAACTTGTTGTTGTGTGCCATCGAGTCAGACCTGATTCATAGTGACCCCTCCTTGGGTTTCCAAGGCAGGATCACTACAGAAGTAGATTGCCCCATCTTCCTTCTGAGGAGTGGCTGGTGGGTTTGAACCGCCAGCCTTCTGGTTAGCAGTCAAGTGCCTTAGCCACTATGCTACCAGAGCTCCCAAGCTTACATGTATGTAAAAAACCTGGGGCTTTGGTTTGAATTATTCAGATGAGCTATATGTAGTTACCAAAATTCCTCATCAGTGACTCATTGGCTTTTGTGGACACAACCCTTGGAGGGAGGGCAGGCCAGTGATGCCCAGGTTGGAGAATTCCTGCTCATTACCTATTGTGTCTTGTAAAAGGGAAGCTGAGCTGAGCCTTGCTGTTAGTAAACTCAGAGCTCAGGAGATGAGCGAGGATGAGTGAGCCCTTTTAACACCTCTTGGGTTGGTTTTCTCACCAGCTGTCTGGGTTTGCAGAGCTCTGGGGCTCTGTGATCACAGCGGAAGGGGTGAACTGCCCAGCACCCCACCCGTTTTGAAGCCTTAGGCCCAGGCCTGGGTTTGCAGCCCCTGGGTGGTGCAAATGGTTTGCACTTGGCTATTAACTGGAAGGATGGCGGTTTGAACCCACCCAGTGGCACTGCAGAGGAAAGAGTTGGCGATTTGCTTCTGTAAAGATGATAGCCAGGAAAGCCCTGTGGAGCAGTTTTGCTTTGTAACACATGGGGTTGTCTTGGCTTGAAATCGACTAGATGACAACAGGGTTTTGTTGTTTTCAGGCCCGAGCCCTGCCTAGGAAGACTGCTGATCTGCCTCAAAGCCAGAGAGAGGGTTATGTAGGGGCTGCATTTTATTTGCACTTTTTCCTCTTGAGATCATTGGACTTCAGGAAAAACACTTATTCAGACATCACAGTAGTAGCTAAGGGAGGGAAAAGCAGGGATAACTGATGGAGACTGATGGATTGAGAAACTTCCAGGAAATATCAGGTGCTTATTTATTAGGGAAAATTACTTTTGAATGACCTCGAGGTCTGTGCTTGGAGCATGGATTCTGGCAGAAAGAAAGATCCGGACTGGTTATGCATTCCAGCATTTGTTCATGTGGAAAGAATGATCTTCAGGAAAAATCATACCCCCGGCAAAGGACTGT